ATTCTCTGGAATAAGATCAATAAGTAAGAGTAAACTAAAAGTAATTCCTAAAATGCTAAAAATACTACCAAAAGGCTGTTCTAGAATACCGCATCCTATTTCCTTTGTTGATTATAGATTTTATATTTTCCAATTCGGAGTTTCTGCTTTACAAGATAAAAATGGGATGTTGCTCTTTCTCACTACCTTTGCCTTAATGAAGGCTGGGAGAAAACACTACTAAAGAGATGGTGCTCATTTCTTACTGAGAAAACTGGTATTTTGCCTTTGTGATGAAGTAGCCCCTAATCTAAGGCTTTTCTTTAATATAATACAAACACTTGGACAGTGTGCCATATTGTGTCAAGGATAACTAAATAAACAGAAACGGAACATTTAATATTTTAACCACTACTAGTAAGGAAGTAATCTACTCACACTTTCACAGTTTTTTCAATGTTTCTGATGCAGAAATCCAACGTGATCACAACTTCTGTCTTTTTGTGAACAGTTTCATTATAATCATCTTTAACTAATTCGCTAAAAAAAATATTATTCCTGTTAGTTTATTTAAGAAATTATTAATTTTTTTCTTGTCTATCACTAATTACGCCACATTTTATAACAACATTCTTGACATATGAAGGCCAATTCAAATTTTTGGGGGATACTAATATTAAAAGCATTTCTGTGACTTTTATACATAAGTAGGGTACTTGTATTTTCACAAACCATTACTACTTATTAAGGTTAATAGTTTAGAAACCTAAGGCACTGAAATTATATTAAGATATAAAAATTAATCTACACTCACACATCCCTAATCTAAATTCCAAAATGCCCCAATGAGTATGATTCCTTTGAGTATCATGTTGGTGTTCAAAAAGTTTCAAAGTTTTGGCTGGGTACGGTGGCTCACACCTATAATCCTAGCACTCTGGGAGGCCAAGGCGGGAGGATTGCTTGAGCTCAGGAGTTCGAGACCAGTCTGAGCAAGAGCGAGACCCCGTTTCTACTAAAAATAGATAGAAATTGGCCAAACAACTAAATATAGAAAAAATTAGCTGGGCATGGTGGCGCATGCCTGTATTCCCAGCTACCCAGGAGGCTGAGGCAGGAGGATCGCTTGAGCCCGGGAGTTTGAGGTTGCTGTGAGCTAGGCTGACGCCATGGCACTCTAGCCCGGGCAACAGAGTGAGACTTTTTTTTTTTTTTTTTTGAGACAAAGTTTCAAAGTTTGGAATGTTTTGGATTAGGGATGCTCAACATGTAATGTGATCTCTGAAGAAGAAGGATGACAAAGTAATATATAATTGAAGGGCTTTTGGTCTGTATCAAGGATCAACAGACAAAGGCCTGAGGCCTGTTTTTTTATGTCCCATGAGCTAACATTACATTTTTGTAAGTTGTAAAAACAGGCTGGGTGTGTTGGCATGCCTGTAATCCCAGCACTTTGGGAGGTAGGGGAATTGCTTCTGTCCAGGAGTTTGAGATCAGCCTGGGCAACATAGCAAGACCCTGTTTGCTACCCAAAATTTAAAAAAATAGCCAGGCACAACGGCATGCTCCTGCAGTCCTAGCTACTCAGAAGGTTGAGGCAAGAGAATTACTGGAGCCCAGCAGTTTGAGGTTACAGTGAGTTATGCCTGTACCACTGTACCCCAGCCTGAGCAAGAGTGAGACCTTGTCTCAAAAAAAAAAAAGTTGTACAAAGTAGTCTACCTTAAAACTATTTTTTCATGACTTATTAAACTATAAAGTATTAATAAAAGCATTATGGATCAGTGACTGGGTAGATAACCACAAGAGAGAATGAGAGCTATTAGTACACTTCGATTTTTCCAGAAACTAGTAAAAACAAGAAAGCTTCTTAGTGGATCTAGAAAAGCATAGGCTTAGAAACTGGATTTATGAACATGGTGAAAAAAATTGTAAACACAAATTTATGGTTTTCACATAATGCTAATAGAAAAAAATAAGAGCCTAAAAAAAGATAACAAGATGGCTCAGGCCTGTAATCTTAGCTCTCTGGGAGGCCGAGGCAGGTGGATCGTTCTGAGCTCAGGAGTTCGAGACCAGCCTGAGCAAGAGCGAGATCCCGTCTCTACCAAAAATAGAAAGAAATTAATTGGACAGCTAAAAATATATATAGAAAAAATTAGCCGGGCATGGTGGTGCGTGCCTGTAGTCCCAGTT